GTTTGTCTGGTGATGGCAGCAAAAGACCCCCGTGATACAGTCGCTTTGTAGCAAGAGCCACAGGAAAAGGGTATGTTCTGGGCTGTTCTTGAACTTTTGCTACAAAGGATTGTGGGTACAAGACCCCAGTGGCCATTCTTTAAACCATGTGCCATTCTTCTCTTGGAGCCTTAGCCAACCAAGCTTTGTAGTCGAGCTATGAAATTGTGTTCTTTGGATCCAGATGACAAAGCAGTTGTGGCTGAGACCGTGTCACAAACTCCACCTCTGGGGTCTGTACTAACCAGTATGCCTGTGTTTAGGGCCAAAATGGTGTCGGTTTTGTTGTTGTTTTGAGGCAGGAAACTGGGCAGGTGCTTGGTCTTGAACTGGAGAGGTACTCCGGCCTACCCAGAAAACTAGGTCAGCTGAGAAAAAAGGCTCTTGGTGGCAGAAAAGGGGGGCATCTCAGGAGGCAGGTGGCCTTGTTTTTGAAAAAGGTGTAGGGAGAATTACATATTTCAGAGACCAAAAAAAAAAAAGTTGTGTCAGCAGGAAAGTTAAATTGCAATGTGGATTTTTCTTCCCCCCCTCCCACTTCTTTTGTTTTAGGATTTTTGTTGCTGGGTTTCCAGTGTGAAACATGAAGGGAGTGGTGCTAGTGCATTTGATACCTCCTTGTGTGCAAGAACAGCCAAGTGCCAGTTTTTAAGCTAGTGCCCATCATGACGTTTAACAGTGGCAACTGACCCACAATTAACAAGAAAGGAATGGCAGTGGATCAAGGATGTGTATCAAAGCCATGAAGGGAAAACTCAGCTCTGTGGAATATCTGAGCAATCCGTGTGCATAGTCAAGCGCCTTTTGCATTGCACTTGGCTTATCGCAGGACTTCTGTGCCAGCCATAGCAGAGGTGTGCCATGCAAGAAAGCCAACAGCACACCATATATCGTGCTAAATCCTGAGACATTTATCACTGCTGGAAGTGTTTGAAAAAGATGGGCACTCAGCTGTTGTAAGCGTGTGGTGAAGGACAGAACATGCTCCTCTCGTGTGAGAGCCAGCCTGAGCCGACAGTGATCAGAACAGAAGTGCAGATAGAATGCTTTTATGTATTTATTTTTATTAGGAACCCTGGCCAGTTGTTGAACATGTTATGCTTGTGTTCTAAACACTGAAAGAACACACTCTTGGCTGTATTTAGGAAGGTATTGCTGAATAGACTTTCCATAGTGCAGTACAGAAAGTTAGGAAGTGAAGTGCTAACAACTTTGGGGACCTGTGTTGTGTGTGGATTCCGCCCCTACCACACACACACATAAACAAACACAAGTATTTATTACTCTGGCATACTTTGCAAAAGTTTTTTTTAAAAAAATCTGAGAGCATGCTTCCCTCATTAAAAAAAAACAACAGCAAGGAGTACCCACTGCCCTGCAGTACACGTTTATTTCTTAGACCGATGTATTCAGGACGTTCTTTGATATTTTGAAACTGCAGCCTGCCAACAGAGAATGTGATGTGAGAGACAGACCTGGCATGGCGCAGTGTTTGAGTTGGGGAGAGGGTGCTAACTTTTTCCAGCTGGGGTATCCAGCTAATTCCTTGACATTTGGGGTGTGTGCGGGGTTTACAGTACACAGCTTTGCTGGCAAAGTGGTACGTTTTAAGGAATCCTTGAACCGTAAGATAAAGGGATGGCCGAAGCAGGGAGAGGCAAAATTGCTGGACATCCCATCCCTACAAGGTGCAAAAGCAAAAACTGTCCACACGTACGTGCTTATTTGTGGAGCTTTTAAATGGACACTTTATATATCTGACACAGTTTGAAATAAAATTAATTCTGGCTGCATTTATTTGAGCCAGGAGCCAGGGCAAAGTACATTTGCACAGATCCCACTTGTTTATCCAGGGGAGTCCTTAGTTAGTTAGTCCAAGTCATGGGAATGCATGCATTTTCCTTAGCTGGGCGGACGAAACCATTATACTGTAGTTGTGATACAACACACGTGGCTTTTATTTGTATTGCCCCCACTCCCACTGTACAGCCACTCCAAAGTAGCGTGGTTAGCTTGCAGTATCTGCTGTCTGCGTTTTATACCATATCCTGCATTATTCTTTTCCCTGGAAGTTTAAGAGGAAAAGAAAAAAAACTTTTTTCTTGTTGCATTGATTAACATTTATAAACTTGCTTAGCCTAGAAAGTTTGGGAAAAGAGGCCTGTTTGTCAATTGTACAACCGGTTGTGAAGCTCAAGTGTGAATATTTTTACGTCTGTATTAGACATTTTCTTTCAAATCTATTGTTCGATTGCAATGTAAATGAAATATAAGATGGTGTACACCCATCATGTATAATAAAGCAGACACCATCGCTACGATGGATTTAATGCTCATTTTTAATGGTGCATTCTCAGCTACTATTTAAAAATATAATTTAAAAAAATCTGTAAAATGAAATGGGAGATATATTGGGGTGGTTGGGGGGGATGAATTCTATTCCATTTAGTTCCGTTTTCAATTTCTTAAACTGTATTGTTTTCCCTTTTGTGTTTATAGGAATGGAATTTTCATGGGAAAGCTAGACCATACGGTCTGAGGGGGGGGGGGGGGGGAGGTTGAGAGATGGGTGGGGGTTGGGGCTTTGTGATTAGCCTGAATAGCAGAGTGAATTCTGTATGTGTGTTTGCTGTAGCACTGAATTGCAGAGAGAATTAGCTTTTGGGATGGTCACAGACTTCAGCAAATTGTGGGTTTTTTCCCAGTGTTTGAGAGAGAGTTAATAGAAAAAGTTTGCAGTACTTGACATGTATTTGCATGCCGTAAAATAAAAACGTTGTCCACCTGAAATTGTTTTGCCTTTCTTCTTTATATGTGAGAGGGTGTCTTTTTGTCTAGCAGGATGCTAGTGGGGCATAGCTTGTGTACCTTTGTAGCTTGCACTTTTCCGAGGTTCAAGATGATTAACAGGTTTTTGTTTTAAACCACTATATAAGATTGCAGTCTAAGGTAGGATTTCTTTAAACTTTAAAAGCTATATGGAACAGATTCCAAACCTGTCTAGTTTTAGCCTCTTGTGATCCAAGTAGTAAGGCTTCTCCCACTTGCTGAAGTAGGCTTTCAAATTCAAGGCAAGATAAAAAGATGGCAATCACTGTATGGGCATTGG